TTGGCTCCCAGTAGGAGTGGGAGGTGGGGGGCCAAACAACTTAGTGTTAAGAAAGAGCCAGACTAATGTCTGCGTGTGATTGTCTAACAGGGCTGCTTGAGATTGTGGGGGACAGAGCTCAGAAGCCCTGGGGCTCACTTCTGGTTTATGTCTTATGTTAGTTACTAAGAATCTCATGCTTCAGGGTTTCAGATGGCCCCGTGCAGGGGTCAGGAAGGGATTTTTCCCCCCCAGTGTATTCCGGGCAGTCTTTTTATCTCCTTTCGCTGGCCCTGGCTGGAGATGGGACAGTGGGCCGGGGGGGCGCTGAGGGCTCTGAGAAGGATCCGGGAGTTGCGGTGGATCACTGGAGATGATAGTACCGCTCTACCCAGCGCGGGTTCGGTCTCAGCCGGAGCACCGTGTCCAGCTTCGGTCACCCATGTATAGAAAGGATGTGGGGGAAGTGGAAAGGATCCAGAGGTGAGCGACAAAGGTGATCAAAGGGGTGGAATGCAAGCCCGATGGGCAAAGGCCGAAGGGGTTTGGTACATTTAGGTTGGAAAAGAGGAGATTAAGGGTGGATGTGATAGCGGTCTTCAAATACTTGAAAGGCTGCTGTAAAAGAGATGTAGAAAAGTTGTTCTCTCTCGCCACCGAGGGCAGGACAAGAGGCGACGGGTTCAAACGACACCTCAGCAGATAACGGTGAGGACAGCAGGACAGCTGAACAGACTCCTCGGGAGGCCCCGGGAGCTCCTTCACCGGAGGTTTACAGAAGGAGGCTGGACAGCATCTGTCTTGGCTGGCTTGGACACAACAAATCCTGCGCCTTGGCAGGGGGTTAGACTAGATGAGCCTTGCGGTCCCTTCTAGCCCTATGGTTCTATGACTCTGATCCTCTGTTTGACCAGATGTTGCGAATCCTTCCAAAAGCGGCGTTTGCTTTTCCTCAGCTTGCACGAATACCTCCAGTGCAGACACCTTCAGATGTCCCCACACTCCCCCGAGAGCAAAGCTCTTCTACTGGTTAGGTTTCTTTGCCAGTCACCTGCCCCTTTGCACCTGTTGTCCAGATTCCGTCCTTCACCATCTTGGTTTTCCCAGCATTTACTTGCAATCTAATTTTTGATTGCCCTGGTTGACCATTTTGTTCCATGTCAAACTTAGTAAAGCAACGTCCTCAGCAAAGTCAAAGTTTCAGAGGAGCAGCCGTGTTAGTCTGTATCCGCAAAAAGAAAAGGAGGACTTGTGGCACCTTAGAGACTAACCAATTTGTTTGAGCATGAGCTTTCGTGAGCTTTATTAGTCTCTAAAGTCAAAGTTGTGTAACTCGTCTGCGCCAACCCATCGGACACAGTCCATAATGCCTTCTGCTGCCGGCTTCATCAGCCACTCTCTAGCGAATGGAAAGAGGATTGGTGATGAGACACACCCCTCATCTCACCCCTCTCACAATATGGAGCCATGCACCAAAGCCTGCATCCAATCCCACTGCTCATCTCAGAGTTACGAACGCCTGAGTTACGAACTGGCCGGTCACCACACACCTCGTTTGGAACCGGAAGTCCACAATCAGGCAGCAGCAGCGAGCAAAAAAGAAAAAAAGCAAATACAGTACTGTGCCGTGTTAAACATAAACTACTGAAAAAGTAAGGGGGAAAAGCAGTCATTTTCTTCTCCACCGTCAAGTTACAAAGCTGTATTAAGTCAACGTCCCGCTGTAAACTTTTGAAAGAACCACCCTAGCGTTTAGTTCAGAGTTACAAACAACCTCCCTTCCCGAGGTGTTCGTAGCTCTGAGGTTCTGCTGTACATCCGTCATATAAACTCCTCCTTACGTAGCTCAGCTTGTCTATGTTCCGCAAGGTCTCTCTGCGGACCCCATCAAACGCTTTCTTGAAGTTGACTATGCTGCCGCAGCTTTTTCGATGAACAGCTGAGGAACGAACATCTGTTCCCAAATGGTCTGGCTGGCTGGACCCCAGCCCCTCTGCTCACAATGCTTCTTTCCCGCCCTCCTTAATTCAGTCCAGCAGGACGGTAGCCAGGATTAATAACAGCCTGACACCGCTCTAGTTTGTGCGCTAAGATCCCCCTTTTCGGCACCGTCACAATGACGCCACGTTTCCAGTCACGGGGCACTTTCTCCTTCACCCTTATTTGGTTAGTTTGGTTAGCTGTTCAATTCGAACTCAGTACCGCTTCTTGAATTCTGTCCACCCTGGGAGCTCTCTCCTGTTGGAGCCCTGTGGTTCCTGCTTTCACTTCTTGGGTGTTACTGGTCCCTCGTCTAGTGCCCACTTAGCACTGGCCTTTCTCTGAAACCTGGGCATGATCTTTGGCTCCGGGCAGTTTAATCTGGAATGGACTTGCACTTTTCATCATCTGACTTGTTCTTCGTGCATTTTAACTATCTGTCCATGAGAGTCGCTGATGGGCATCGCCTCTGGGGGTCTGATTTTTCCTGAGCTGTCTTCCACTATTTATTAGAGCTGCTGGAAATCTCTCCTCTCTGCCGCTGCTTCTGCCTCCACAGCTTTCACCGGGACCCAGGCACTTCTGTCTTGCGTGCTTCTCAGCTTTCGTCTTTTGCCCTTTTCCCTCATGTTCGCCTCTGAGGTCTGCCTCTTGCACGGTTCCTTTTTGGCCCCTCGTCAATCAATGCCCACGTTCCACCTTCTTCTGGCCTCTTTGGTGGCCCACTGCCATCTTGTCTACTGTCCTTTTTCCCGTTCAACCATCTGCCTTACAGACTTTTGATCAGCCTGCTCCTGTAAAACACCGGCCCAGTTGCTGAATGCAGTCTGGAACCTCCCCCGTCTTTCTTGGACCCGGCACTCCTCTATCGCTCCAACTCGCCTTTTGTCTCTCTTCATCATCTGTTTGAGTTTCAGTTGTAACGTAGCCGCTAAAGGATAATGCTCTGAGAACCCATCTGCTGACTCAGGCACCCCCCTGAGCAAATGCCCAACCCTGGGATATACCCACATGTTCTCTCCGATTGACAGTCGCACTGTGGGCTGATCTCCCTGTGAGCGTCTGAATCCTCTTGTGCTGAAAAAGACTGTCTCCTGTCTACAGGCTGTTTGTGCCAGGGAGATTCAAGCGCCATTCGTAACTGCTTCCCAGCAGGTAGAGTTGTTGCCCATTTGTGCATTGAAGTCCCCTATCATTAACTTAATGTCATGGCTGGGCACACAAGCCGGCACTTGCTGAACTGCTGGTGGAGTATATCCCTTTCGCCGTCATCTGCTGCATTTCCTGTGTTACACAGACAAAACTGGACAGGATCGTTTCAGGGGACAAGACAAGATGTCACGTTTATTATAATAACACGATTTGATTTAAGACCAATAACTAATATCTAATACCTATATACACACACCAAAACTTCTACAGCTGCTAGATAGTTCCCAGTCCTGAATGTAGCTTGAGTTCGTGGCTTAGGTTCGTAGCTGGTGGCGGCTAACTGGCCAGGAAAGCCGGGCACAAGGAAGGGCTGGGGCTCTGTTGGGCATGCACCGATGCCCTTCCATGTTGGCAGCAGAATGTTACCCGCCAAAGTCTTCCATCTCATCCATCCTTTTTGTAGGCTTTAGTTTGAATCCAGAATCTACAGGTCTTGCTGTGTCCGGAAGCCTCTGGGGCCGGTGTGACTGGTCACCCGTCAATTGCAGACCTGACTTTCAGCCTGGGACCTGGCTTTGATCTTCCTTCCATTGTACTTTTGTCCTTTTCTTTTGAGGGTGGGCTCTTCTTGCTTTGTCAGGGCTGTTGTCTGCATCTTCAGCCCTTGGTGTTTACACTTTATTTCATCAGGGCCGGCTGGGGCTGGAGGTTGATTCCAGCACCCATACGTACCTCATTCACACAGCAAACTAATAAGATTACAGCAGGGTTTTGCAAAAATGAAGTGAGCATTTTAAAATGGAGTTTGAGTTACAACATGGACACGTGTCAGGAATGGCAAACAGGGAGCAGACGTTCCAATATAGACAAATATAATGAATGACAAACAGGGAGCAGACATTACAATGTTGAAACAGTGCAAGTTTCCGTGATTTAAGCAGCAATTGGATTGAAAGTGAAACTCAATTAGCCAGTTCTCGGGGTACCTGGTTTTATGAATGAATGTTGTTTCATTCATAAAACTTTACTTATGAAGTTTTATTAAGAAAGTGAACAATTAAAAACAATTTCATTGATCAGTTCTACACCTGGGGCAGATATCTGGATTACTGTACACTTGACAGGTCTTGTTTGCAGGCTGGTGGTTGTTGGTCTGTCACGCAATGGCTTCCAAAGTCCCCCAGATAAAGAAAAGAAAGTGGGCACCTGACCAAAAGAGCCAAGGGGAAGGCTAGAACTTTTTAAAACGGGGAAAGAAACTTTCCCTTTGTCGGTTGTTCTCTCTGGGCTGCAAGGACATGGAGCAGCGATGCTGTGTAAGGTTTGAAGCAGGTATGAAAAGTGATCTTCCATACCTAGAAGGAATCATTGGGATAAGGAATGTTTAGCTAGATGCGATCAGGTTTATTTCTTTATTTTGGCTTGTGGACTCCTCTGTGCTAAACCCAGATGCTTTTGTTTGCTTGTAAACTTTAAGATGGACCCCCAAGGACGCTGTTTTGGGTGCTTGATTTTTTTGGAATTGCTCTTTTAAAATCTAGCAAAAGCCTAAGTTTCAGGTGTATTTTCTTCCTTTTTGTTTTGAATAAAATTTACCTTTTTTAAGAACAGGATTTGGGTTTTTGTGTCCTCTGAGGTTTGTGCCCATGTCGTTTAATTAGCTGGTGGCAACAGCTGGTTTCCTTTGTTTGTTTTCTTTCTCCGCTCTTCCCCGGAGTGGGGGGGGTGAAAGGGCTTGTGGGTACCCCACAGGGAGGAATTCCCAAGTGCTCCTTGCATTTCATTTGCATTGAAAGGGTTGCATTCGAACCCTTTCATTTGCATTGAAAGGCAAAGGTAATCCTCGGCTATATCAAAGGGTTTTTTTTGCATTTGGGTGGTGGCAGCGTTTACCAAGCCAAGGTCAGAGAGAAGCTGTAACCCTGGGAGTTTAATACCAGCCTGGAGAGGCCCGTATGAATTTTTAGAATCCTTGCGGGCCCCCAGCTTCCGCACTCGGAGTGCCAGAGTGGGGATTCAGCCTTGACAGTTGTGATGTTACCCAGCGTCATTCCTACACGTCTGTCATGGGTTCATCCTGCTGAGTATAAGATCGTTGCCCCCTCAGACAACACCTCCCCACGCCCAGTCCATCACATCCCACTGACACCAAGTATTCTCTCATTTCTCGCGGAAGCTGTGTCAGCTGTGACGGGGCAAGGCCAGATGGCTATAGAAAAGTAGTGGGAGATAGATATATTAGCTCCAGGCTAAACAAATCCCTGGTACCAGGATAAGTGAAATGGAAGCTGCTCCAGGTCAATTAAGACACCTGGGGCCAATTAAGAACTTTCCAGAAGGCAGGGAGAAGGCTAGGTTGATTGGGACACCTGAAGCCAATCAGGGGCTGGATGAAACTAGTTAAAAGCCTCCCAGTCAGTCAGGTGGGTGTGCATGTCAGGAGCTGTGGGAGGAAGTTGCGCTGTTGGAGAGGCTGAGTAGTACACACCATATCAGGCACAAGGAAGGAGGCCCTTAGGTAAGGGTGAAGTGGAGCTTGAGGAAGTGAGGGCTGCTGTGGGAGAAGTAGCCCAGGGAATTGTACAGGTCATGTTTCTAAAAGGTCAGCTACCATAGCTGATACTATTAGGGTCCCTGGGCTGGAGCCCGGAGTAGAGGGTGGGCCCGGGCTCCCCGCCTGCCACCTTTGCCCCCTGATTAATCACTGAGACTGGGAGACAACAGAGACTGTGCAAGGAAGGATAACTTCTCCTCACCTCCCTCGCTGGCTTATGATGAAAACGGCTCAGTAGACTGTGACCCTTGTCTCTAGAGAAAGAAAGGTTACGTGGAGGGTCACAGTGAGCCTCTGAGGCTAGCGAAACCCGCCAGGAAACGTGGGACCCACGGAGGCAAGGACAGAGCTTTGTCACACAGTTTCCTGTAGTTCACAAAGTACGTACAGCAAAGTTCTCCATGAGCGGGTCGAAGAATTCTCCTCTTTTTATCCAGGCTTGCAGTCGGCACTGTGGCGAACAGTGAGAGAGTTACACAGCCGGCCTCCGCAATGCGCCGAAATGTGAGAGCCCCTCACCGCAGCACACACCACTCACACCAATCCACACCGCACACCCATAATAACTCCAAACATGCGTAGCCCCTCACCCCAGCGAGCACCGGCCGTCCACCTCCTTCCCAAACCAACACCAATTTCCCAGCCCAGCCCCTCCTACGCCCAGATCACCCCCACACAACGCAACCGGCAGGCTCAATAGCCCCAAACACCGCTCTGAAGCCTAAAACGCCTGTTGAATCAGGCTGCTGTGACAGCAGCAGCTAACAGGGTCAACGAGAGCTCGTCTTGTTGATCTCCAGGTTCAATCATCACGGAGATTTGCCATCTCTTGCCGTCCAATTTTTTCAGTGCTCAGCCATTTTCAGCTTCTTTATGCACTTGACTTTCAGCTGCTCATTACCAGTTCCTCCCCCGATATAGCCGAGGATTACCTTTGCCTTTCACATTGGTGTCTTATAATCCATCCTCTGAGTGACTAATACACCCAGGTCTTTCTCCTCTGTCATCCCCAGCAGATGAGTCTCCAGTTTATCGTGACTGATTCCCCAGCCTCCTCCACACACTTGGGGATCTTCCGAATCCCTTCCACTGCATCTGACTCACTATGTTCCCTAATTCCTCAAAAGGGGCTTTCTTGGCCTCCCATGCCCTCAGCTGCTGCATTCAGTGAAAGCCCCTGTTCCTTACTGCGCCAAACCCACCAGCCCATCCTCACTGGTCCCAGCTTCCTGGTGAGTCTCTCATTGCCACGGGGCCTCTCTGTGTCAGTATAAAGCAGTCCCAGGGTGACTCCCCGCTCTGGCTGGGACATAGAGATGCCGTCTCTGAGTTTTAGGAACCCCCTTTCGTGATGAGTGTCTGGCTGTGTGTGTTCTCAGCAGAGCACAGATACTCTTGGATTACCTGGGGGGCTGGGCCCAGAATGTTACTGTTTAGAAATAACCCGGGGTTAAAACAGTAGAACTTTCCCGGTTACAAATGCCCCATGAATTCACCCAGTCTCACTTGTTTTCTTTCCCTTTGAACAGGGTTGCCGATTTCCAAAACGGATGTGATCTCCCAGCTGGGAAAAGGGGAAGAACCCTGTCTCTTACAATGCTGCATCTGCAGTGCTGTAAGGAAGAAGCTCTGAGAGCTCTCACATCCGCTCAGTTAATCCACCTCCCCAGGAGGTGGGAGCTATGTCAGCAAGAGACGCTTTCCTGCCAACACGGTGTGGTCTATATGGGGCGTTAGGTCAGTATAACTAAATCGTTCAGGGGTGTGGATTTTTCACACCCCGAAGCAATGCAGTTATACCAGTATAGGACTGCAGCGTAGACCAGATTTTGGTTTTGCTCTTGTGTTGTGTGCGTTTGCAACCTTTCTCCTCTACGCCCTCCTACTTTGAAAGATTAAAAAGTGTGAAAATACAAGGAAGGTGTTTTTTCTCATGATGCAAACGTTCCCCCAGAGGAGACCCCTTGGCACCAACACCCACCGCAGAAGATCTGGAGATCTGCGAACTCCCATGAGTGGGACCACAACTTGACTCAAAGGTTCACTTAGTGACTGTCCTAATTAAAGGAAAACTAAGACCTAGGGCAAGTTTTTGTGATCTTTGAATATGTTACCTGATTATAGAGAGTTGTGTATTATTGTTATAGGGTCACCAATTGATCTGACCAGAAGAGAAGTTCCTTATCCTGGAATCAGGCTACCTGTGTTAACCAGGTGTGACAACCTTAATTATATTGGAAAACTGGAAGTTGTCTTGTGTTTTGTTTGCTAGTAATGCGGAAAACAGTGGCTAATCCTGAAAAGTTTATTTGATGTAATATACTCCCTTTTGCATCAGGATTTCTGATAGAAAACCTCACTTCAAGGGTTAGGGTGGGAGAACGTGTGTGAGAAATACTGCAGAACCAAATATTGGCCCAGTACAGATTTTCATTTTTTGTATTTCAAGCGGAACTTATTTTGATGAGCTTCAAAATCAATTTCTATTAAAAGGAAAACGACTCGAGGAGACAAGGTGGATAACCTTTTGCCCCGTTAGACTGTAAGGGTCACTGAGTTCTTCCCTTCTCTTATTTGCCAAGGAAAGACAGGACATCTGTCAGAGGATGTCTCCATTTATTTTTAAGCATCGTGAGGGATGCATCATGCAGGTTTTCTGTTACATATTTTTGCTACCAGTTCTTGTTATAGGTGCTGACACCCCCTTTCCTTTTGAGGAGGGTAGCTGGTAGAACATGGCCATTTAACCCTCAGGCCTTAGAGAGATTGAGCCCCTCTGGGAAAGAAGTCGTGACCTCAATTCCAACCTTGATTCGTCTCCCTATATGTGAGAAAGCTACTAGCATGGAGGGCTGGGCCAGCTGTCCGCTTGCCTGGTTCCTCAACTGTAGCTAGTGTGACTCCCACTAGGCCCCGGTGAAGGGATGAAAAACAGGGGAGGGACTGGGGGAAATGCGGTGTCTTTCCCTGTCTCTGTTGGAAATCAGGGAGAGGAGCAGGGAGAGAAAGGGGGCCATAAAGTCCCTTCAGATTTTGCCTCTTCTCTCTCTCTAATACTGACAAAATTCTCCCCCAGTTTTGCCCCTATCCCCCCTAACTAAAATGTGTATAAAATCCATGTAGCTTCCCCCTTTTCTCTCAAACTATCTACCTTTTCTCGCTTCCCCTTCTCTGAGTTTGCCCCATTTCTCTCCCCAGTTCTCAAAATGTCAATTTCAAATCATCTCTGATGTGGGGGGATTCCCCCACCCATTTGATATGCAGCGATTGTGGGGAATTGTCCTGAATCATTCCCCCAAATGGGCAGGGGGTTAGTGGGGGCTGTTTGGGGGAGTCCTGAGACACAGCTGCTTCTGGGGTGGAGACGGGGTGGCCCTTCTCTGCCAGCAACAGGGCATGGAAGGGGCCAGGGATTTCCCCTTACCCCTGAATTTCCCCATCACCGGTCATAGACTCATAGAAGATCAGGGTTGGAAGGGACCTCATGAGGTCATCTAGTCCAACCCCTGCTCAAAGCAGGACCAATCCCCAATTTTCAGCCCAGATCCCTAAATGGCCCCCTCAAGGATTGAACTTACAACCCTGGGTTTAGCAGGCCAATGCGCAAACCACTGAGCTATCCCTCCCCGCCCCTTGCGTGTGATCCGTAGACGGGAACCCCTCTCCAGGAGCCTAATGGCTTCCCTGCTTGACTCCAGGTGTGAGGGGCTCTCAATCTTCCTTGTTGGCGTCATGCCACTTGAATTAACGAATGGAATAAATTCAGTATTAATTGGGCCACAGACAGCAGGAGAATCCCTCTTTAGCCCAGCGCACAGGCGCTCCCCTGAAAGGCAGGACACCCCTGTTCCACTGTTAACTCTCGCCCCCAGGATGAGTGCCTTGCCCCGGACGAACCGCAACGAGCGGCCTCGCCCTCCTCCCTGTCCCATTTGGGTGACCTCTGGGCATCGAGCACTCGTAGATTCTGTTGCTCCTGAATTATCGGGGCTAATTCCCTTGCCTTGTCCCTAGGGCTGGGGGATTTTGACACTCCCTCCCACTGCACCTGACTCATTAGATTCTCTGATTTCCCACAAGGTGCTTTCCTGCCATCTAATCCCCCCTGAGATACTGCTGACCCCCTTACCATGCATTACTAGGCTGAATCCCACTTGCTCACGCTCCCTGACCCCTGGCTTCCCTTGGATTGTCTCATTTTCACTGGTCCCTTCTGTCAGTAAGATGGTGACCCAGGGAAGTTCCCCCTCTGGTTGGAGTCGCTACATTCTGGGACAGAGAGGTGGTTTAGGTGTCCCTTGGACGATGAGATGCAGATAATTAAATATGGAGCACCAGAGGAGCT